TCCTGAAGAAGAGCAGGGGATGGGATTATCAAAGGGGATGGGATTCCCAAAGAAGAACAGGGAATGGGATCCTTAAAGGGGATGGGATTCCTGAGGGAGAGCAAGGAATGGGATTTCCCCCTGGGGAGAGCAGGGAATGGGACTCCTGTGGGGAGAGCAAGTGCTGGAATTCCTGAAGGAGGTCGGGGAATGGGCGTCCTGAGGGAGAGCAGGCAGTGGAATTCCCGAGGGAGGGCAGGGAATGGAATTCCCTTGGGAGAGCAGCTCCTGCCATTCCGTTTGGAGCGGCCGGAGTCTCCTCCTGCTGCTGCTTCCCGCTGTGCCCTCCCTGCTCCCTGTTTTTCCCAGGTATTACCTGTTTGCCCTGGTGGTGAACCTGAGCCGGGACGCCTACGAGATCCGGGTACTGCTGGAGCGCGCCGAGGCGGCCGGGAAGCGCGGGAAGAGCCCGGAAAACCGGCCCCAGCTCCGGGCCGACGGCGGGATCCAGCGGCTCCGGCTCCAGCTGCAGCTCCAGCTCCGGCTCCTGCTCCAGGTGCTCCGGGACAACCCCCCGCTGCTGCTGGACCTGCTCCGGAATGCCTGCGACCTGGTGATCCCGCTGGAAAAGCTGGGGCTGTGCCGGAGCAGCCCGGGATTCGTGGGATTGTGCGGCCTCACCTCCTCCGTGCTCTCCATCCTCACCATCCTCCACCCCTGGCTCAAGCTGAAGCCGTAGTTGTTATCCCGGGAGCTTCCTCGGGATAGCTGGGAATCTTGGGGGTCGATCCCGGCGGCTGGGACGCCTCTGGAGCCGACTGGCTCATCCCATTCCCGTCGTTCCCCAACTCCTTGGAGCCACGAGGTGGAGGGAACCCGGCGTTGGATCCCGCGGGGACCTCGGCTCCCCAAATTTGTTTCGTCCCGTTGACTTTTCCGGCCGTTTTTCCGGCCAGGGGATGGGAGGAGATGGAGGGAATGTGGCGTCGGATCCCGCAGGGGCCCCGTCTCCTGAAATTTGGTTCTTCCTGGCAACTTTTCCGGCCGTTTTAGGGGTTCAGCATCCCCCCTTTTCCAAGGGGGAATATCTGGGGCTGGAAAACGTGGATCGCTGGGGGCTCTTCTCACGGATTTTGAGGGGGTGAAGCCGCGGGATTGGGACCATCCTGGTGCCAGCTGGTTTATCCAACCCCTATCCGGACATTATTCCTGCTTTTTAAGAAATCCGAGGGCAGGGAGAGGGGAGCGGGAAGGATTTTGGATGCACGTGGGCGTCAGGCGTAAATCCGTGGATTTAGGGGGGTGAAATCCAGGCAGGAATTTGCCCTCCTGCACCTTCCCTGCAATCCTGGGGGGAAGAAGGGACTGGAACGGGTTGTGCCGAGCTGGGGGGGGGTCACTCCCAGCATTCCCACATTCCCAACAGAGAGGGGACTCGGCATCCTGGGTGCTTCCCGGTGCTTCCCGGTGCTTCCCAGCCACTGGGGAGCAGCTGAATCCTGTGGATCCCCCTCCCTCCCTCTGCCTGGACCCACCTTGGCTGCCCTTCCCTTCCCAGATATCCCACTCCGAGGTGATATTTGGGATAATGGGGGCGGGGCTAGGATTCCCTGCTCCCAGCAGTCCCAGATTCTCCCGTTTTCCCTGGATTTTGTGACACCAGCTCACACTCCTGTGGCCCTGAGCCAGCTGTGATGTTACTGAACCACACTGGGAGCTGGGAATTAGTTCATTCCAGAGGCGGGATGTCCTTGGATCCATCCCTGGGAGAGCAGGAGCATCCTCTGGAAGGGTTTTTTGGGAGCTCCGTACCCAAACTCCGCCCGCTCCTGGGCTTTTTTTCCTGGGAAGAACCAGGGATTGGAGGTCTCAGAGCCGTGTTTATCCCAGGGGGAGTTGGGATGGGCGGGATTCGCTCCAGCGGATCCCGCGGTGTCGGTGTAATTAATGAACTAATTAAATTATTAAAGCCCAGCAGCCTCCCGGCCCCTCTGTCCTGGGATCTGGGGGAACGTGGATGCAGGACACTGGGATGGGCTGGGAATGCTGGACTGGGAGCACTGGGCTGGACTGGGAGTGCTGGGCTGGGATAACCCCCTGGAGTCGGGGGGGCTCATTCCTGCCATTTCCAGGGGGAAAGGGGTGGGAGATAGGGGGGAGGATCCCAATCCCTTCCTTATTCCATCCTGTCCCATCCCACCCCACCCATCCCATCCTATCCCACCCCACCCATCCCATCCTATCCCATCCCATCCCTCCTCAGTTGCCATTCCCGCCCCAGCTGAGCCCGGACCAACTCGCTGCACCCCAGGGGGGCCACGTGAGGTGGGGGGGGGGGACCGAGGGGATTTCTGGGGTGGGATTTGGGGGTTGCATTTGGGGTGTCCGGTGGTGTTTGGGCACTGGGAAGGAGGGAGGATCCGGAGTGGGATGAGGCTCCCCCGCAGCTGTGGCGGCTCCAGTGCAGCCTCCAGGTGAGTCCAGAGCCCCTGAATCCACCCAGAATTCCCTCACAGGCCCTTAAACCCCTTGGAACAGACTCGGGGTTATCCCCTTTTTCCCAATTCTGAGCAGTTTGTGTCTGTTGTCCCAATCCTGAACCCTGTTTTATCCCATTTTTCCCAACTCGAAGCAGTTTTACCCCATTTCTCCCCGCTCTGACTCACTTTATCCCCCTTTCCCCCACTTCTATCCCATTTCCTGATTCCAACCCCTGTCTTATCCCTCTCTTCCCACCCCTGGCCCTCATTTCCCCCCCCTTTTTCCCAGTTTCCCTCATTTCCCCCCTGCCTGTGTTCTCCAGCAGATGTTGGAGTCCGTCTGGACCAGGAACAGGATCAACGAGGCCGAGATTCCCCCTCTGGTGGTGCTGGGAAAGGTGGGGGGGGGCCCTTCCCAGGTGCCCCCCGGGCCCCCCGACCCCCCAATCCAGCCCCCAGGTCCCTCCCTGGCCCCATCCCCACAATTCCCATTTTTCCCCTCAGTGTCCCCCCTGACAGGGGGGGCCCTACCTGGTAGGGGGGGGGGTCCCGTCCGTGGCCGCACAGTCGCCCTTTGTCCGTTTTTCTCCTCGTTTCCTGTTTTTTTTTCCCTTCCCTGAAAATTCCAGCCCCGTCCCACAGCCCAGCACAAGTTTCCCTCTGTCCCAAAATCCCGGAGTTTGAATTTTTTTCCCTCTTTTTTTTTTTTTTTTTTTTTTAATTTCCCAAACCCACCCAAAAAAATCTCAGCGAGGAGCCAAGGGGGGGGGCTGGGCCCGGGGAGTCCCCCCCTTCCCATCGGGAGAAAGAGGAAGAGGAAGGGTTGGGTGGATGTTTGGGCTGGGCTGGGCCTGCAGGGATCTGGTGGCCCGAATTCCACAGGATCTGCTATCCCAAATCCTACGGGATCTGATCAGTAGCTCCCTGGGGAGTTTGGGCCTCCTGGATCTGGTTCCAGGAAACCCCTCCTGGGTTCCAGGAAACCCCTGGAATTTGGCCCTGACCCCCCCCCCCGATCCAGTCCCCAATTCCCCAAGGATACTCTTCCTGATCCCCAGGGATCCCATCACGTCATGTGTGTCCTGCCCCATCCATTTGCTGATCCCTGGGATCCAGTCCCCCAGTCCCCAGGATCTGGTCTCTGATCCCTGGATTCAATCCCCCACTGTGGTCTGGGAGTCCCGGATCTCCCAGGAATCCTGTCCCCAATCCTCTCGGGATCTCATCCTCAGTCCTATTCCAATCCTCCCGATCCTCCAATCAGGATCCAGTCCCTGATCCCCATGGAATCCAACCTCTCCCCCCAGAGGATCCAGATCCCAGTCCCTGGATCCAGTCCTTAGTCCCTTGGGGATCCAATCTCCAGGATCCCACCCCCAACCCCCACAGGACCTGAGACCCCAATCCCCCAGGATCCAATCCCCTGGATCCCACAGGGGTCCAGACCTCAATCCCCTGGGATCCAATCCCCCATTCCCACAGGAGCCAGCCCCCAATAATTCCCCCCTGGAATCCAATCCCCAAGGGAGGATTTCCCTGTCCTCATCCTGCCAGATCCAGGTGCCACCCGGGGGACGGATCCCGGGGCTTCCTGGGGATGGGATTGGGATCCCCTCAGCACCACTGACCCCCCTCTCCTCCAGAGGGATGCCTGGATCCCCCTTCCCGCCCCTGAGGTGTCCCTGGTGCTCTCGGGAGGTGGGGGGGGGGATCCCGTGCCAGGCGGATCCCGGGAATGGATCTGGAGCTGCCCCAGGTGCCCCCCGGGCTCCCCAAAAACCCCCCACGGCCTCGACCTCTCCTACAACAAACTCCGGGAGGGAGATCCCGGCGGGCGACTCCGGGCTCTGGATCTGGGAATACCCAACGGCGTCTCCCCGGGCGCCTTCCAGCCCCAAACCTGCCGCTGCTGGAGCACCCGCGGCTCTTCCAACAACCCCTCGGGATTTTGGGGGGGTCTCGCGCGCGCCCGGGGCAGCGCCAGGAGCGGCGGGCGGGGTGGGATGTGGGGGGGGGACACACACCGCGGTCATCCTGTCTCCTCCTCCTCGGAAAGGAGCCTGGACGGTGTCCGGGAGGTGGCGGTGTCATCCGGAGGACGTGGCAACCCGAAATCCACCGAAATCCACCCCAAAATCCACCCAGGTCCCACCCAAACCCCGCCAGAGATCCCCGAGCGCCCTTATCCCAACTCCCCCCATCCCGGTCCCCATGGGGAAGGTCCAGGTGTCGCGGCCACCTCCGGGTGGGTCAGTCCTTGGGGGGACAAGGGGGCACCCTTTTCCCACCTCATTTTTCCAGGAAAAAGGGAAAATCCCCTCCTAGTGCCCCCCGTCTCCAAAATCCCGCGCCCTCCTCCTTCCCGCTCCCCTTTTCCCCCGTGTTTTTACCACTTCGCCTGTTTTTTTTCCCCGAACTCTTTGCCCCCCGCCCCCCCCCCCCCCCCACATTTATTTTTAGCAGCCAATTGAAGATGAAGGAGGAGGGAAAAAAATATTAAAAAAAAGAGAGAAAAAAAAAAAAAAGGAAAAAAAACCGGGATTTTGTCCCGGCTGGAGCCGGAGTCACCTTTGAGCTGCGGCACGGCCATGTGGGGGGTGGGGGGCCAGGGGGTGCTCCCGGCGCTGCTCCT